GTCTTCCTGTGTTACCCAGGCTGCCTCAGCCTCCTGAGTACTGGGATTGTAGGCATGTACCAGCACTATGACATAGTAGGGTAACTATATTTGGCAACAATTAGTTTTATATTTCCAAGTAGCTCATAGAGGGAATTTTGAATATTCCCAACACAAAGAAATGATAAATGTTGGAGGTGATGGATATACTAAGTACCCCAGCTGATCCTTATACATTGTATACATATGTTGAAGTATTACATTGTAACCCACAAATATATACAATTATTATATATCTATTAAAAACATTTTTGGCAAAGTAGTAGCAGAGTTTTATTGAAAGTGAGAGACAACAAGTGAAAGCAGGAAAGTATACTTGTTAAGGAAGGGGGAGTAAGCTCTGAGTAGGGTGAATTAAGAGCACACCTTTAACTCAAGAGCCTAATTTTTTTCTTTTCTTTTCAGTACTAGGGCTTGAACTCAGGGCCAGCACCTTGAACCAGCCCTTTTTTTTTTTTTTGAAGGATTTTTTTCAAGATAGGGTCTCTCAGCCAGTATCAATGGATCACACCTGTAATCCTAACTACTCAGGAGGCAGAGATCAGTAGGATTGAGGTTCGAAGCCAGCCCAGGAAAATATTCACAAATAGTACAAATCTTAGGGCTTTGTACTTGCTTGGTAAGTGCTCTACCACATGAGCAACACCTCTAGCACTTTTTGCTCTGGTTATTTTGGAGGTAGGGTCTCACTTTTTGCCCGGGCCAGCCTGGACCATGATCCTCCTATTTTAAGCTTCCTGCTGTCAGCTGGGATGACAGGCATGATCCAAACACCCAGCTTTTTTCACTGAGATGGGTGGGGTCTTGCAAACTCTTTTGCCCAGCTGGCCTAGAACACTGATGTTCCCAATCTCAGCCTCCTCAAGTAGCTAGGATTGTGGGGTGTGAGCCACCCACACAACTTAATAAACTTTTTAAAGAAAGAGGAAGAGGGACTCCAACTCTCTTGCTGTGGTCCCTCTCCACAGGACTCCTTCCTGAACAATAAACCCTGTGCTAGTGTTAAAAAGAAAGAGGAAGAGACACCATAAATGCCCACACCCAGGGGAGATGTCATGTGAGGGACAGTAAAAAGGCAGTCATCTGCAAGTTTGGTTTCTCAGAAACCAAACCTGTTGGGCTGGGAATATCACTCAGTGTTGGTAGAGCACTTGCCTAGCATGAATGAGGTCCCAGGTTCCATCCCCAGCACTGCCAAAACAAAAACAAAAAAACACTTGTCAACACCTTCACCTCGGACTTCTTTAAGTGTGCAAAATTAAATTTCCATTGTTAAAGGCATTCAGTCTGTGTGCTTTGTTATAGCAGACCCAGCAAATGAATACACTCAGGGCTCCTATAGGCTCCTCTCCAGAGACAGTGAGTGAGGACTGAATGAGCTTGGAGAGTCTAGTGCCAGAGCTGTCATCTGGAACATCATGGGCGACTGCCAGGAGAAACAGGGTGACAGGAAAGAAATGGGTGGAGAGGGAGTGCCACATGAAGTACCAATGCCAGGAAAAAGTCCCCACGGTGGGAGAAAGCTTGTGTCCCAGGAACTGAGAGAAAGTGGGAAGCAGTTGGCAGGGTCTCTGAGGTTAGCAGAGCTCACCCTTAATAGGCCAAAGTAAGGAGTTTGAGAGGCTTGGGGCTATAGCTCAAGTAGCACGAATGAGGCAGAGTGGTAAAGTGCTTGCCTAAAATGCACCAAGTCCTGGGTGTGATTCCCCAGAACCAAGGAAGGAAGGAGGGGATGAAGGGAGGAAGGCAGGGAGGGAGGGAGGAAGGAAGGAAGGAAATTTGAGCAGGGTGTGGTGGCACACACTTGTAATTCTAGCCTTTAGGAGGCTGAGGTCAGCCTGAATTGTGAGTTTCAGGCCAGCCTGGGCTACAGTCTCAGAGGAAAAAAAAATTGTTTTTGGTTTTCCTCCTGAAAGCCATGAGGTGGAGAGGTCATCCAGAAGTGGCCACAATGCTTTTCCAGGTTCCTAACCATCACTAGGAACCTTAAGAAATTGAAGTTTAAAGTCTCCACAAATGCCAAGATTATATATATCCCTGTGGGTTTTCTTTTATTTTTTTTTCAACTTTTCTGACTCCAAAGTTTTGGATAAATTTATTGGTGCTGAACTTTTTTCTCTTTGGAGGCCTTGTGCTTCTGTCTTGCCAGCAAGGTGATCCCTCAGGGACTGAGCTGGTGCCCTGGTCAGGTTTCAAAAGCCATCTAGAAGCTTCCCAGGTGGTGGAAGTTTTAAGCAGAGGGACTGGCCACCATGTGTAGAAGAGGAGATGGCTTGTACACCTTCCCTGACTCCAGTTTCCTAATGGAGGTTCTGGCACTAGAACAGGGATTTTCAGACTACTTTTTATTACCAGGTTCCACAGGAAGATATATCCTTATTTACTTGTTGGGAGACTCATTTTCTGCTGTCCAGGCTGGTCTTATACTCCTGGGCTCAACTGATCCTCCCACCTCCCCTTCCTGAGTAGCTAGGCTACATCAAGCCCAGTTTAAAAAATATTTTTATGTGGTAGCCCAGTACACACACACACACATTTCATAAAATGCTTACATTTCCCATTCTTTTCAACTTATTTTTTTTTTTTTGTAATTGAAAAAATTGTGAGTGTGACTTTCTGAATAGGAATCCAATAGCTCAGGAAATAATAGCAAGAATTAACTAATGAGATTGAATCAAATTTAAATTTTTCTGCACAGCAAAGGAAACAACTGAGTGAAGAAATAGCCTGCCGGGGCTGAGGATGTAGCTCAGTGGGTGTTTGCCTAACATTCAGGAGGCCCTTGGTTCTATGCCCAGTACCACAAAAGAGAAAGACAGCCTACAGAACAGGAGAAAAAACTTTGCCAGGCATTCATCTTGAGACAGGTTAAATTAGGGACATGAGGCATAAAAACAAAAGCAAGTTAAAATTCAGGTCATCAAAAAACCAAGTGCCCGTGGCTCACGCCTGTAATTCTAGCTACTCAGGAGGCAGGGATCAGGAGGCTCATAGTTCGAAGTCAGCCTGGACAAATAGTTTAAGACACCCTATCTTGAAAGAAAACATCACAAAAAAAAAGGACTGGTAGAGTAAGTAACTCAAGGTATAGGCCCTGAGTTCAACCCCAGTACCAAAAACAAAAAAAAAAAAAAGAAAGAAAAAAATTATAGAAAATGGAGGTTCCTCAGAAGACTAAAATCAGAACTGTCCTATGAATATATACTCCTGAGTATGAGTACATACACCCATGTTTATTTGCAGTACTATTCACAACAGCCAAGTAATGGAATCGGCCTAGGTGCCCATCAATAGATGTTATTGCTGGTTTTTTGAGGGTTTTGTTTTTTTGCATTACTGGGATTCAAACTCAGGGCCTTGTACTTGCTAAGTAGGCACTCTACCACTTGAGCCACATCCCCAATCCCCATCAATGGATGAATAAAGAAAATGTGACCTATATACACAATGGGGTTTTTATTCGGTGTTAAAGAAGAAAATTATGTTATTTGTAGGAAAATGGATGGAACTGGAGAACATGATATTAGTGAAGCAAGCCAGACTCATATTCGGAAAGTAGATTTAAAGAAAGACACGGAAGTAGAAAGTAGAGCGGGACTATTTGGAGGAGGGGGACAATAGAGAGTAATGGGGCTGTGACTATGATCAAGGTACAGTGTATATTTGCATGAAAAGTCCAAATGAAACCCATTATTTTGTACAGTTAACACACACTGACTAAAAATTATGGTTACTAACCATAAATAGATTTCACGACTCAGTAATGGTCTTGAACCACACCTGAAACCCAGCCCTGGAGCCACCCTCCTCACCAGACCCTGGTGCATTCCTCCCCAGAGGAGGCTATAAACTTGAACTAATGCCAAGTTCAGAAGACAGTAGGTATGCCCAGCCCAGATATCTGAGCTCCCCTCCTGGCCCCTGCCAATCCCTAGGAGGACAGGTCAGGATGCTCCCTGCTTCCTGGGGAAGGCCTGGCTCTGTGGCATCAGCAGGTGACATTTTTCTTTCCATTTGGTTACCTTGTGCATCCTATTTGTTAGTTCTAACCGTGGGGAGAGGACGTGTTATTAAGACCCTTTATATTACCCTATTTCCTTCTGCTTCTCAAATAAGGTGCAAGAACTGCCCCACCCACCCCTGTGTTAATATACAAATAAATATTTAAAAAGAATCAATGTCGGAAGAAGTACAATGTGAGTAAAAAGCCAAGACCTGCGGAGAGCAGCAGATATGTAACCAAAAGTAAAGGGGAGCCAAGGATAGAATCTGGGAAACAGAGGCAGGTGTACAAGGACCCATAAGGAGCTGAAGAGTTGTGACGCTATGGGGGAAGAGCCAGGACTGGCTGGACACTGAGGGTCTCAGGTTCTCTCTTCACCGATTGCCCCACGGCCCTCGTGGTGTCCCCTTCTGAAGGGCCACTAGACTGCTGTACTTCCAGGCCTTTTCCTGTTCCTACCTGTGCTCTATCTAAAAGCACTGGCAGTTGGGCCTAAACATCCTGATTCCTGATCCTGCATGTTTCCTCATCACACCCGGGACCCCAAGACTGCTGAATTTTGGCAGCCAAAAAGAGTCCGACGCCTGTGGCTCATGCCTGTCATCCTAGCTAATCAGGAGGCAGAGACCAGGAAGACCGCGATTCCAAGCCAGCCCGGAAAATAATTTGCGAGACCCTATCTCGAAAAAAACCATCACAAAAAAAAAAAAGAAAGAAAGAAAAAAAAAAGGCTTGTGGAATAGCCCGAGGTGTAGCACCTGAGCCAAAAAAAGAAAAAAAAAAAAAAAGGCAGCCAAAGGATGGTAGTAGATGCTAGAGTAGAGTCAGGCTGTCACTCTTAGTCCCCTTTCTACCAACCCACAGGGGACTTGCTTCAATTTCCTCCTCCAGGTCTTGAGCGATGCTCAGGAAGCAGATTGCTTCCTGCTAGCTGAATCGCTGTACCAACATGCGACCCTAAGCAGGTTATTTATCTCCTACGTCTCAATTACCCCCTTCTGCAGAGTAACCGAAAGAAGCCGTGAAATAACCCCATGGCACCCAGCAAGCGCTCGGTGGATGCTCGCAAGACTCATTCTCCCTAGACATAACCTCCCGCAGCGCTGCACGCCGCAGCGGGCAGGGGGAGCGGATGCCCACCGCACGCCGGCCTAAGCCCCCCACCCGCATCGCCCGGTCGCGGGCGGCCAGTGCCGACAGCAGCGGTGCATTGTGGGGCTTGTAGTGCAGGGCTGGCTGGGTGGGTGGGCGCGGCAGTGGCAGTCGCAGCGGGGCCATCTTCCGCGGGCGGGCTCGACCTGGGACGCCCGCACCCGCGCCCTTCGCCCGGCCCGATGGCGCCGCGGCCACTCGGCCCCTTGGTGCTGGCGCTGGGCGGCGCCGCGGCCGTCCTCGGCTCGGTGCTCTTCATCCTTTGGAAAACCTACTTCGGGCGCGGACGGGAGAGGCGCTGGGACCCGGACGAGGCCTGGTGGGGAGCGGAGCCTGCCCGCCTCCCGCAGTGGGACGAGTGGGAGGTGAGTACCCGCCGGGGCCGCGGAGGGGCAGGACGGCCCTGGGTCTGCGCCTCCGCGCGCATGACCGAGGGGCGTGACGGCGGCCCTGCCCTGTGAGCGCCAGAAGCGCCTCGGCACGTGGAGGGCAGTCATGGAGTTCGGGAACCGAGGAGCCAGTGCGCCAGGGCGGGTGTGGGTGGCGTCGCCATGCGACACCGCAGGACTTGGCCTTTCCCGCCAGCAAATGCCAGAACCCCAACCGCAGCGCCCTCGAGGCCCGAACCGGTCGGCCCGCGCCGGCCTGGCGCCTGCGCAGTGCGCGCAGCGCTTCCGCCCGGGAAGATACCGGGAGAAGGCCCCGCCCCGGCCTGGCGCCTGCGCAGTGCACGCAGCGCTTCCGCCCGGTGGGACTGTGCGGCGCCCGCGGTCCTGACTCGTGGGGGATTACACTCTGCGGAAGTCCGGGCTCCGCAAGAGGAGGAACGTGCCTGAGATCATTCCTGGGAACGCCGAAAGAGCGGGTTTGCAATCCAGGACTCCAAAGGCAGCGTTCTTCCCATTCCTGCAGACCACGTCCCTGGACGGGTGGAGGGCCGATGTGCGCTGTGGTGCCTTCAGTGGTCCCTGGAAAGGGTCAGGCGGGAGGTTGGCAAGCACAGCCTGACCTCTGCCCCACAGCCCGAGGACGAGGAGGAGGAGGAGGAGCCGGCGCTGGAAGAGCTGGAGCAGCGCGAGGTGTTGGTGTTGGGGCTGGATGGCTCTGGGAAGAGCACGTTCCTGCGTGTGCTGTCCGGGAAGCCACCGCTGGAAGGCCACATCCCCACTTGGGGTTTCAACTCTGTGCGGCTGCCCACCAAGGACTTCGAGGTGGACCTGCTAGAGAGTGAGCACAGACCCCACCTCCCATCCTATCTCCCCGTCGCCACTGCTGGAGCCATGCTTGGGTTCTTTGGAGGGAAGGGGGGAGCCCAAAATGCACATCTGAGCATCACACTTCCCTGTCTAAAACCCTCCCCACTATGCACAAGATCCAGTCCAAGCTCTAGCCTGGCAGTTAGGGCCTTTTGTGATCAGGGTCTCCAAATTGGTCACCCTCGCCTCTACTGAAGCACACATGCCTAACTGAATAAAAACAGCTAAGGTTCAGGCACCAAGCCCTTGAAGGTGTTACTAACAAAATCCTTCCAGCAACTCCATAAAATATTACTACCCAAGGACATTAAGTATTTGGCCCCTGAAAGAAAAGTAAATAAAACTTTACTATTCTCAGCATTCATAGGAAGAAACTCAGTCCCAACCAGTTAGATCACTTATCCAAGTCACTGAGCTTTCGTGTGCTCCAGTGCACAATGTGTGCTCCAGACCTTTGAGAAAGCACGATGCCCCATTGCTTATTTCTGAAGCGTACTTGCTGGTATCTTTCTTATCTCCGTTCTTGGCATGTACTCTTCCTTCGGTCTGGAATGCCCTTCTTCCCTTGATAACTGCTACTCATCCTTCAAGCATTAGTTCCCAAGCTGTGTTAAGGCTCCCCTGGCCTCCTTTGGCTTCAGTATTTGCCACACGGCTACCCTGTGCCTCTGACTAGGCCATGAGCAGCTTGGGCACAGACTGGTCTGATCTATCTCTGGCCCCAAGGGCTCAGCCTCAGGTAGTTACCTGCCAAAGCTTACTGAATGAGTGATCAGAGAGGGTCTTGAGGAGACCCCTGCCCTTAGTCGTAGGTTCTTGGGATTTGGGAAGGGAATGGCAGAGAGAGTATTGAGTAAGCAGCAGTACTTAGCCACCTGTGTCTGACCCCTGTCTCTGTGGGGAGAACAGGACTTCCTGCAAGCTACAGTACTCAAACTATAAAAAACAGGTAGATTTAGTTCAGTCATAGGTGGTGAAGTTGGACTTTGAGGTCCTGTTTACTGGAGTGGACTTAGTTCATCTGGTCTCAGGCACTTGCTTCCTGGCTTGGCCATGTCTTTTCTCCCTGGTTATAGCAAGCATTGACTTTCACCTGGGATTCTGGTCTTCCCATCACAGAGAGAAAGGGATACTTGTGAAGTGGGAGCTTTGTACTTAAAGCCTTGTCTGTTTGGCAGAGACAGTATCCCTTCTTCTCCAGCCCTGGGAGAAATGAATGGGTGTTTTCATATACCTTAGGTTTTGGCAGGTAACAGTCCAGGCTGTCAGTACAACAACCTCCCTGGTTTTGCTGCTTCTGTTTCTGTCCCCAGTGTCAGCCAGAGGTGTCTTCCAGAAACCATGTCAGATCATGTAATTCTTGTTTAAAACCCTTAAGGAGCTCACTGTGGCCTTAACAGCCCTAGACAGTCCACCCTGGCCAGCACCACCTTGGCCTACCTTCTCTTTCTTAATACCTCACACTTGCTCTTCTCTCTGTCTGGGGTGCTTTTCTCTGCCTCTTGCTATGGCTAGCTTCTCATCCTAGACTCAGCTCACCTGCTGTCTCCTTGGGCAGACTTTCTCAGACTACCCAATCCAAAGCTGACCCCTGCCCCCAGCCACCTTCTCCCTGTTCTGTTTTATTTCCTTCCTTTTTGGACTTATGTTATTGTCTGGTCCGTCTGTGTATCACAAGCACCAAGGTCAGTGCTTGGCACTTGGTAATCACTCAGTAAATACTTGATGAGTACGAATGCCTGCTGTGTGCCAGGCATCGTACTAAAGGCTTTGGGAGACCCGGAGTTAAATGTCTCTGACTGTTGGAGCTTAGAGTCTACAAGTGTCAGAGCAGAACCAGAAACACTGGGATGCAGGGTGACCATGGGACTGAGCAGACGGGCAGAGAAAAACAGAAAGGCAACCCCAGGTGGGGACACTACAGCCAACCTTGTGTTGGTGGGATTGAGAATGGCACTTCCAGGGAAAGAAAAAGGGCATGATGAGACTGCGTGGGGGAAACTTGAGGGCAGAATGACTGTGCATAGGCAAAACAGAGTCCTGACTTTTCTAAGCCTTGGGACTCCTAGTTTCTGATCACAGCCATCACTGACCTGGAAGGGGCAAGGCAGCTCAGGAGAGAGAACTGAAGAGTACCATTTGTAGAACACCCATTTGTCAGTCCTATGAAGGGTACATTGCATGTGGTACCTTTGGGTTTTTACTGCAACCTTGTAGGTAGTTCACTGAGAGGAGACATGCTCAAAAGTACTGACTTGTCCTAAGTGACCCAGCTATCAGAGATGGAGCCAATCTTGGCTCTGATTGGCTCTGGACTCTGTGGTCCTTTCCTTGCCCCTGGCTGCTGGAACCTTGGGAAGCTGTGGGTGGACCACCAAACTCCAGGAAGGCTCTGAGCTGGCCACTGGCCTCTCCTCAGTTGGTGGCAGCCAGAACCTGCGCTTCTACTGGAAGGAGTTTGTGAATGAGGTAGACGTGCTGGTGTTTGTGGTAGACTCGGCTGACCGGCTTCGATTGCCCTGGGCCCGGCAGGAGCTTCACAAGCTGCTGGACAAAGATCCTGACCTTCCTGTCGTCATAGTGGCCAACAAGCAGGTGAGGCCCATGGGAGGCTGCTAAAGCCAGGTGGGTGTGTGCTCACAAATGCCTGGGTGGGGGCAGGGAGCACTGTAGGATTTGGGACAGATACTGTCCCCCCACCCCTTCTGCATGTGCTCATTTCCCATCCTGACCTCTGTCTTCTTTCCTCTTGGCCTCCATGTCCTCTGTCTCCTTAGAGAGGTGGAAGGAATAATTAAGTGCCTACTATATGGAAGGCACAGACTGGGTTTGGTTTTTTGTCATTGCTGGGGTTTGAACTCAGGTCCTTGTGCTTGATAGACAGGTACTCTGCCACTTGAGCCATTCCACCAGTCCCATGTTTGTTTGGTTGGTTTGGTTTGGTTTTTTGTGGTACTGGGGATTGAACCCTAGGGCTTCACACGTGCTAGGCAAAGGCTTTTCCACTAAGCTACATCTCCAGCCCTTATGTTTTATTTTGTTTTTCTTTTTTGAGACAGGGTCTTACTGTAACCCAGGCTAGTCTTGAACTTTTATCCTACTGCCTCAGCCTCCCAAGTACTGGGATTACAAGTGTGTACCAGCACGCCCAGCTCCCAGGTATAATTTTGAATGACATTTGTTTTGTTGGGGCAGAACTGGGATTTGAACTCAAGGCCTTGCACTCACTAGACAGGTGTGCTACCATTTGAGCCATGCCCCCAGTCCTTTTTCACTTTAGTTATTTTTCAGGTAGGGTCTAGAGTTTGGAGGCTGGCCTCAGCCCATGTGCCTTCTGTCTACAGCCTCCAGAGTGGCTAGGATGTCAGGGGCATACCCCTTGATTGAGATGGGGTCTTGCTACCTTTTTGCCCAGGCTGGCCATGAACCACAGTCCTCCCAATCTCTTGGTAGCTGGGATTTTAGGCATGAGCCATCACACCCATGACATTTCTTTGAATGACTTTTTTTTTTTTGACAGTACAGGGATTTGAACTCAAGGCCTGATGTTTGCTAGGCATTCACTCTACTGCTTGAGCCACTCTGCCAGCCCTGTTTTGTGTTAGATATTTTCAAGATAGGGTCTTGTAAACTGTTGCCCAAACTATTTGAGTAGGCTGGGTTTGAACCTCTGTCCTCCTGATTTTTGCCTGCTGAGTAGCTAGGATTATAGATGTGAGCCACTGGCATCAGCTTGAATGACATTGCTTATTGGGCTTCCGTTGACCCTACGAGGAATAGAATATTATTCAGATGGGAATCTGAAGCTTATACAGGTTTGTAATCGCCCCAAGGTTGTACAAGATAGTGGTTTCGGGATGTCTGTGTCCAAAACCATGCCTTTGCACCCTGCCGTGCTCTTGCAACTTTTGGTCCTAGACCAGAGAGCTATTGTTGGAAAGTAAAAGAAATAGAGCAGGTTATATAATAATAATATTTATTGTGAGCTTGCAGTGTTCCAGGTACAGTGCTAAGCACCTGACAATCATTACCTCATTTCAGTTCTACAAAAACTCGAGATAGGGTCCTGCTGTCATCCCAAAATGCCTGAAGTTACAGCTGTGGCAGAGCCAAGACTTGAACTCAGGTCTTCCTCAGAGTTCCTGCTGTTGGGCTGAGGATGTAGCTCAGTGGTAGGCGCTTGCCAAGTATGCATTAGGCCCTGGATTTCATCCCCAGCATGGGGTGGGGGTGGGGAGAGAAGAAAAAAAAATTCTGCTCTTGACCATTTTACTATATCTTTCCTAAGTGCCAGAGGGCTGCCTTCTCCCAGCAGTCCTCTGGATCACAGATCTTCAGTGCCATCCTGAACACCAGGACAAACTGACACAGAACAGAGCCCTGTCATATTCCCTGTGGCCTGTACCCATGAGCCTCTGAGAACTGGAGGATGTTTGCCAACTGGCTTCAGATAGAAGCTGCATGTTTTTGACCTCAGATTTACCGTGCTGATCAGGAGACACTTGACAATTATTTGTAATTATGGTGGCCATATGTCCTAGTCTACCTGGGATAGCCCCTATTTAGCCCTGCTGTTTTTATGTCACTAACAGTGCCCTCTGAGCCTCAGAAGTACCTTGGTTTTAGATAATGAGTGAGATCATCATTCTATTTACACACTGATTTATAGCGGGTTTGTACCTACAGGAGACAACACCTAATTTGTAGCAGGGTTTATTCTTTTTCTTTTTTTTTTTTTTGGTGAGAGTGAGGTGTGAACTCAGGGCAAAGCAGGTACTCTACCTCTTGAGCCACACCTCCAGGCCATTTTGCTCTGGTTATTTTGGAGATGGGGTCTTGTGAACTATGCGTGGGCTGGCCTCGAACTATTATCCTCCCGATCTCAGCCTCACAAGTAGCTGGGATTACAGACATGCATACTTGGCTCTTTTTTCCTTTAAAAAATTTTTTTCTTCTTTTTCTTTTTTTTTTTTTCTTGCTGTACTGGGGTTTAAATTCAAAGCCTTGCATGCTTGCTATGTAGGTACTCTACCACTTGAGCCACTCCACCAGCCCATGTTGGGTATTTTCAAGATAGGGTCTTGTGAACTATTTGCCTAGACTGGCTTCAAGCCACAGTCCTCCTGTTCTCTACCTCCCAAGTAGCCAGGACTACAGGCATGAGCCACCAGCACCTGGCTATTATCTTTTTATGGTACTTTTGAACCTACAGGATAACAACTAAGATTGTAGCATTCTATGACTTGCTCCAAGAAAAAAATCATTCTTGGGCAAGGGTTGAAATTAAAATGTATCATCACCAGCCTTGCTACCTAGTGATCTCTTTGATTTTATTTTTATTATCATATTGTTGTACTGCAGTGCATTGTGACATTTCAAAAATGCTTACGGTATATCTTAGTTAGACTCACCCCTCCATCATTCTCCTTTATCCCTGCTCCCTACCTTCTTAGAATATTTTCAACAGTGGTCTCTTTTTCCTCTAGCTAGTTTCTAGGGATATTGTCTGGGTGACCCCACTATTAAGTATAAAAAATGGAGCAGGGATTCCTATAAGAGTCAAAATGTTGATTATCAAACCAACGTGAGCTGGTTTGGAACCTGGCTCTGTCACTTATCACTGTTACCGAGCTAACTGACTTCACCTCTCTGCACCAACTTCCTCATCAATTAGGTGGAGACAGTGAGAATCAAGTGAGACTAAGTAGGTAAGTGTCTGTCAAAATGCCTAACAAGGAGGGCTCTGTTTTACTATGGTGGCCAACAATGCAATGAAGAGAGGTTGGTGTAATGAGAGGGATGAAGGACAGAGCACTGAGGTTATCCTAAGCGATTCAGAGGCAACTCCTAGGCCCTTGGACCCTGATGTTCCTCCAGGCAGCCAAAGGATAATTTATTTCATGGGTGACAACGGTGACGTGTGTTGGGAAACACTGTCAGCTGTACACCAACTGACTTCTGTTCCCCCAGGACCTCAATGAGGCCATGAGCATGGTGGAGCTGCAGCAGGAGCTGGACCTGCAGGCCATTGACAGCCAGCGGGAGGTTTTCCTCTTGGCAGCCAGCATTGCCCCTGCAGGACCTGGCTTTGAAGAACCCGGCACTGTGCACATCTGGAAGCTACTCTTGGAGCTTCTCTCCTAGGCTGGAGCCAGCTGCTCACCACCCAGCCTTGGGGACCACAGTTCTGCTGCCTGCTACTTCATCATCAGCCTGGGCCTAGGGCAGGGGCCATGTGGCAACACTTCCCATCTCCCCTTCTTGCCCTTTCAAGGGCAAGGCTAAGAACCATGTAGAAGCCTTCCTGGTGTGGTGGCCATGAGGCTGGAGCAGGGGGGTTGGTGAGGCAGAGCATGGGAGAAGGTGGTGTCTGGCTTATTCTAGGTCAGAGTGTGGATCCAGCATTCCCTGCTCTTAACCTGCACACTCAGATGCTCAGTGGGCCCATTCCTCCCCTTCCTGCAGGTCTCAGTGATAAAGAGCTAGTATAGGTGTCACAAGTGCTCCTGGAGTCCCCAGCTCTTCCAGTGTATACTGTGCCTTCCTGGTAACTTCATTCACTTATGGTACAGACAGGTTCCAGGTGGTTAACAGTGAGTTCTTGCTTCCAGGCCTGCATTGTCCTCCAACCCCTGCTCTGCCTAACTGGCTCTGCCTCTTTGACCCCATTGGCCATCATTTTTCAAGGGACATTTCCGTGTTTTTTCTAACTGCCAGCCATGGGGGTATGAAGTACTAGGATAAACCCTAGCAGGGAGCTTGATGAACACCTGCTTTTAAGGCCTGACCTCTTGTGACCAAACAGAAGGGGTGAAAGATGAGTTTTCCTTCTGGCTTAGAGACAGGTCCTATTCTTGTAGTAACTGTGCCAGTGCCCATGTTTACATAAGTCTGGGCAAGGACAGAGCCCAAATTCACATCCCTGGAATAAGGTGATTGTCTACAGCTGGGGGCCAGCCTCAGAACTCTATTTTATTTATTTATTTATGTATTTATCAAAGAAACAGGCCAAAGTTCTAGGTTCTGTTTCTAGGTGCTGTAATCAAAACTCTAGGAGACTGTCGTAGAAAATTTGAAACTGAGTAAAAGAGCTAGAATCATGAATGACATTGAAGGGCTGGTGGAGTGGTTCAAATGATAGAGCACCTGCCTAGCAAGCATGAGACCCTGAGTTCAAACCCTAGTGCCACCAAAAGAAAAAAAAAAAAAGAACAAATGACATCGAGATAAGCTTACAGGGATCAATGGAGACAGAGCTGTAGCTCCCCTCCCACCAGCCTTTGAGACTGTAATTGACACTATATTTCACACTGATTCACATGAACTCCACCATGTGGCCTAGTATATTAGAGGAACACAAAGACTTCTGGGTAGATAACAAATGACTCTGAGAGAGAAATCTCTTATGTGAATCCAATAGACAGAAATAGCAGCCCAACCAACAGGGTGACCTTGGGCACATCACTCAGCCTTCAGGGACCATTTATTCCACAGAAAATGCAAAGTTGGACAGAATTCTGGGGTTCTCTCCAGGACACATCCATGATTCTTCTGGGTGCAGTGATCAACCAGCTTAAAGACTGTCTGTGTTGGTGCAGGCAAAAGAAGGAACCTTTTGTCTGTCAGGAGCCACATTTGGACTAGTTTTTTCTTTAAGGCGCTGTCCCACTCAAGTTTGTTTTCTAAAGTGAGAATAGATTGTGTGACTTTGTTTCATTTGACATTTACCCAGCATGCTTCAATACCATACTACAGCCAGGCAAGAAGAGGCACCCCAAGAGGCAGTGGGTAAGAAGCTTCAAAAACCCGAATAAATGAGCAAAATCATTGGAAGAGTGGCCCACCAAGCCACTGGGCTTTGGGCACATCAGAATGGAATGGCTGTTCTTTGAGATGCTAATTTCTTTTCTGCAGTAAGAAGTGGTTTTTCTGCTTTTATATTAAATGTTTAAGGAATGACATGGGTTTTTAGAATAACCTTTAAAACTCTGCTGCCAACTTTTCATCTTGTCACTGGAAGGGTGAGAAACTTTGTGTCTCTCTTCTGTGAACTGTTCTCCAGCACTTGAAGGTTTCTGTGGAACCAGCACTGATTGTTAGAGGGACCCTTTTTTCCTAACTAAGATCTGCATTTGCCAGGCACTAGTAGCTCACGCCTATAATCCCAGCTACTCAGGAGGATCATGGTTTGAAGTCAGCCTGGGCTAATAGTTTGCAAGACCCTATCTTGAAAAAACCCATTACAAGAAAAGGCTGGTGGAATGGTTCAAGCAGTAAGAGCACCTGCCTAGCAAGTATAAGGCCCTGAGTTCAACCCCCAGCACTATCTAAAAAAACAAGCAAAGATCTGCCTATCCCTAATGAATATCATGTAGTATAATTTTTAGTTTCCAAAGTAAACTTGAATAAAGTTTTCACTATGTCTCCCAAAGCTGTTTTTATCAAAACCACGCTGAATCTCAGGTGCCAGTGGCACACAGCACTGAAGGTCCAGAGTGCCACCCATACCCAGTCCTTGTACAGAATGTAGGCATTCCAGTGGCCTCTGGTGAGGCTGCCAGCGTGTCCTCCAGGCAGTACCTGTTGGGGCTCCCCTGCCCCATTTTCTGCCACAACTAGACTGGGCAAAGTAGGGGACTGGGCCTTCTTCCGAACCTTCCCTGTTCCAAAATAAGACTTACTGTACTGAGGTCCCAACCATCTGCCTCTGGGAATCAGTCTGATTGCCTGCAGCTCTTCCCCTCAAAGTGGGGTTCCCACCTGTGCTGGGATCATTCACCTGGCACTGAGGACCTTTGTTCCTTTTATTTACTTGGCATTGCTGGGGATCACCAGGGCTTCATGCACACTAAGCTCTACTACTGAGATATACTTTGAACCCCTGGGCTTTGTTCTTTTTTTTTCTATTATTATTCATATGTGCATACAAGGCTTGGGTCATTTCTCCCCCCTGCCCCCACCCCCTCCCTTACCACCCACTCCACCCCCTCCCTCTCCCCCCCACCCCCTCAATACCCAGCAGAAACTATTTTGCCCTTATTTCTAATTTTGTTGTAGAGAGAGTATAAGCAATAATAGGAAGGAACAAAGGTTTTTGCTGGTTGAGATAAGGATAGCTATACAGGGCATTGACTCACGTTGATTTCCTGTGCGTGTGTGTTACCTTCTAGGTTAATTCTTTTTGATCTAACCTTTTCTCTAGTTCCTGGTCCCCTTTTCCTATTGGCCTCAGTTGCTTTTAAGGTATCTGCTTTAGTTTCTCTGCGTTAAGGGCAACAAATGCTAGCTAATTTTTATAGGTGTCTCACCTATCCCCACACCTCCCTTATGTGCTCTTGCTTTTATCATGTGCTCAAAGTCCAATCCCATTGTTGTGTTTGCTGGGCTTTGTTCTTAAGAGTTACTGAAATGAAACTATGCCTCTGGGATTTTCCATTCTCCAACATGTGACCAACCACCTCTAAGAGCCACCTTGACCCAGAGCTTGGACATTTGAGTGGTCAGGGCAAGTGGTCTGGAGACTGCTGGGACCCATCACCTGCCAACCCCATGAAGCTATGCTTGGTTGCCCCTGGTGCCCAGAACTGTCTAAGCTGTGCCAATGCTGCAGCACTTGGCTTTAAGGATCAAGGAGGAAGTGAAGTCACTCACAGCCATGGCTGGTCTTCCATGAAGAGGCACCAATGAATGACTGACTGCCTGCCCATCAGCCTGGATGAAAGAGATTCTCCAAATATGTTTGCACTTGCCTTTGGAAGAATTTGATTATTCTTAGGTTAGGAGGAATTGTCAGCATTTCAAACCAGTTGCTGGACTATGGTGTCCACCCTCCTACCCCCGGCCCAGACCTCAGACCTGAGGTACTCTGAGTAGACCCCTCACTCACCTCTCAGCTTCAGAGATTTTGAACCTCAGCTTCTAGAAGGACGCCTGGCCCTTTGCTTATAGGTTCCACTATTCCATGCCTGCACGTGCTTATGAAAGGCAACACGGCAAAGGAAGATTCCGTGATCAGCCGATTATAACGCGTGAGTCTGCTGAGCTATTTTCAAAGAAGAGGAGTGGAGTTCCTTTCCTGAACCAGCTTCCTGCCCTCCAAAGTCTCGCTTCCCTCAGACGGCCTCTGCAAGGGTGTGCTTATCAGCATGAAGAGACGACATTTCAAATCGGAACTGATATGTTTTACTATCTCTGCGAAAGTTTCCACTGGTGTCCTCCCTCAGAGCTCTGCTGCCCGCTGTCACCCTCACAGCTCTGAGTGACCCACCCATTGCCTGGGGTTGTGGCGGTCACTGTGCAATGAAAAAAGCACAGTTCCACAAATGTGACTGTTAAGTTCAAAGCCAGTGGTGATGCACACATGGAAATCAAATTTCCCAGCTACTAATGTGGTAAAAGACATTGTGTGGGCTGGGATGATGGCAGGTGACAAGCTACAAGGGCAGGGAGCCTTGTGGAGGCCATTGAGTGCTTATGACTCAAGAGACCCAGTCTGTGTGATACTGTCCATGACTTTTACTAAGGGCATAACCGTGGCTTTTATCCTGATCATCTCGGCCATGACTGGGGAGGGTCATTCTCTTAAGTCTTTGGGAGCAAAAGATGAACTCGGAACCATGGGGGTTGAAACTCAGGAGGGAGAATGCCAACTGCATTCAAATCTCACGGTGGTGGATGAGCCTCCCCCTCCTTATGTGCATTCTGCAGACCAGAAAAACAGAGACTCAGAACAGTTAAATGGCTTGTATAAAGCCAGGCAGACAGTGATGGGAAAACAGACCTTAGGTCTCTTTAGTTCCAGGGTTTCTGAGATTTCTCCATCACTCAGTCACCTGCATGAAGAGGTGGCTCAGATCAAATCCACTTCCTACCTCTAGAAAGACACCCCAGTCCCCATTAGAGTTACTTCAGGTAAACCAGGACTGGAGGTTCCAGAGGTCTGTGCTGGTGGTTTCCCCATGTGACCACTAGAGGGAACCAGAGTCTCACAGACCCATCTTGACATCCATCTAGATGGGGCTTAGAGATCCCACTGGGATTCACTACAAACCCAGAGTTTGTTTGCCTTTCTTCTTTTTGCACCTCTTTATTCCAGTCTCTAGTTCATAGTTCAAGGTGGGTGTATAAAGGAGTAAGGAATTCCATGCTTGATGGATGCTTCAAAACCCTATGGAATTTCACCAAATCAGGTCTAGAAACCTCTCTCAGCCCCACTCAAGGTGTCTTCAGTATGCACACTCCAGTCCCACAGAATCAAATTTGATATGAAGCCCAGGAATCTGCATTTATCCCAAGAGTAGACGAACTGAAGTTAAATGTTGAGAACTGCTGCATTTCAGCTCTCACAGAACATGGCACCTCAAGTCACATCTATAGGCAACACCTGTTAGACAATGACACTCTGGTAGTTTTGGTGTCAATACTGTCATACAGCCATGATCACAAGACCTCAAGAATGAGATCTGGGGCATGGAATTTTCCTTACCACCTTTCCTAGGCAGACGTCTAAAGGTCTCTGTGTTGGGAAATGGAAAGAAAGTTAGATTCCCTTTGGAATCATAAACAGAGGCAAATTGGTAACTGTTCAATGACTGGTATGGCTTGAACATGTCCCCCAAAAGTTCATGTGTTGGAAACTTAACGCTCAATTTTCTATGTTGATAGAAATGTGGCGCCTTAGGGAATTAATTAGGATCAGTTGAGTTTTTTTTTTTCCTTGGGGGCCCCCTCTGCCCACCCCACTCATTACTGAAGGCAGCTCCCAGTGCCCGTCACTTCAATTGTCTCTGTGGAAAGTCACTCATTACTCTTGGTTTTCTCCTTTGAAACTATCAAGTACTTTTTCTCTGGCTAATTTTACAATTCTCTGTGTGTTTATTCCATTTTTGTTTAGGGAGTTTCTTGACTCTTGATGTGTTTCTTGCATTGATGTGTTTAAGGTTTTGGAAAAATTGCCAGTCATTCTTTCTTCGAATGTTGTTCCACTCTGTCCCTTTCTCTTTAGCCATTTGAGCAAACTCCTTGTGTCCCTTATGCTCCATCTGTTTCCTTCTTTCTTTGTTGTCTCTGGCAGTTGAGTTTCTTGAAGGTAGGACCCAAATGATAATATTAGCGGTGTTCTAAGATAGGAAGATCTGAGCCAGTATACTTGCTCTATCTCACCATGTGATGCCCTCCACCATGTTAGGATGAAGTAAGAAAGCCTCCCCAAGCTCCAAGCTCCTGGACTTCCCAGTCCCCAAGCTATGGGCTAAATACTCCTCTATTTATGAATTACTTGGTCTTGGGTATTTTGTATGGCAATGGAAAATGAACTAAGGCAAACACCCTCCTACTTAGAAAATATCCTCCTTCTTAGTGGTTGGCTGCATGATGTCCAGGGGTCTCCTTTCTAGAATATTGCAAGTGAGTCATTCCTCTTCCTACAGCATTAAAAGCACAGAGGCATGGCCTCTTGGTCCACCAGAAAACTGTAGAGAAAAGTGTTCAGAGCTTGACTTTGTTCCAAATATTCAGGACGGGAGCAAAGGAAAGGTAGACCCTCTGTTGTGATAAAGAATGAGAAGGAGAAAGAACAAGGGAGGAAAAGAGAAGAGAGACACGCCCACAAGCAAAAGTGTGAAGCCTTTGAGCAACTCAAGTGGGTTCCATGTAGAATCAAACTCCTGTAGGGATGCTGCTGTGATGTGATTTCAAGGGTTGTTTGTCCAAGCTCCCTTTGGACTTATGACACACATGACAAGGTCACAACAGTGATTGTTATGGAAACAGATCCGATCTTGAAAGGGACACATTGCCATTGCCCAGAAAAGACCAACACCTGCCTTTTGCCACCTTTTCCTGAGATTGAAGCAGACCAGGGGGCAAATGCAGAAAGGAGGGAGGAGGCTCTGATTTGAACAGGGTTGTGTCAGGGGTGTTTCCTGGATGCTCTTTTCCTCACTGCTGTGCTGCTTCAGGGAAGCAGGATGTGCTGAAGAGAGTGGGGATGCTCCAGCAGTGCAAACGTCCTTGAGAAGCCATCCAATGCCAACAGCACAGGGAGAATCACATTGGGTTTAGGAGACTCCAGTGGGTGTGACTGTCACAGAAGCAGCAGATTCGAAGTCCATAAAATTCAATTCACCCCATATTATCCTCCTAGGCAGGGGCTGTGCTCATACTGCATGATTATGAATTACGTTAGGGTTACGTGAGTGAATTGTTTTTAATAGTTATGTACTTTTTGAGAAGGATGGAAGCAAAGCA